GTAATGGTAATGGTGAATGGGACCCGGGACCGATTCACTTTTTTTCGTTTTGATGTCCCCAGAGGTCAAAAACACCATCCGTTCAAATGCATAAATATTTATTTGATTAGATGGTGTTTTGAGTCTCTGGGGCCTCTGGTCTAGGTCTTACCATGTAGCTATATGAGAGATACGTTAAAAATACTATCTTCGTCATACATCAGCAAAGCCCAACGCTTTGAACCAATGAGCACCTTTGAACATGCGTTGCGGGTCTAAAGTAGCTCTTTTACTCCTTAGGGTAATTTAAGTTTTCATCGAATGGCCTAAAATACTAAGCCAATGATGAGTAGGGGCTGATTAAAGCTGCTTAAGTAGTTGTTACTGAATTAGACAATATTTTTTTGTTAGGATTATGAACTGATCAGTACCATCAAAGATTACACATACTACACAAAAAATAAATAAATCGTAATCCTTTGAATGACACCAAGTATGAATTTCTCACCTTTAGTGCCAATATTTGAATGGTGATTTATATACACCTACTATGAAATTCCAATAATAAGGTTTGTATTTGGGTGTATTTTATTTTCCATTTTAACGCGTTCGTTCTAGCAGTCGCAATGAAGCTGGTAAATACAATAATATCTCACAGGGCTTGGAAGAGATGAATGTGACAGACACCAAGTGCGGACAATGAGGCTACTGTCTTGGAAACAATGACTTATTGTTTTTATGAAACCTTTTCAAATCTCAAGTTTGCCTTGTAATCAAAACGTCAAATCCAGTGTTTATATAATATATTTTATAAACTATATACTTTAGAAGATTTACTAGTATGAACTAGCCTATTATAAACATTATATTTTTCAAAATTGAAACACTCTCATCATATTTATGGTTCTCTTTATTATTGACAGCTATGAAGCCATTGTTACATCTGTTTCTCCACACCGATAACATGTTTTACACTTTAAGGCAAGGCAAGTTTTTTTTTTTTTTTTATAAGCTTAAACAATTTTATTAAATCTTCCCTCGCAGTTTGCATTACTGCTCATAAATATATATCTATAGTATGAGATTCGTGGGTTTCAATAGGGGACCAATTCCCTTTTAAAAACAGTTATTTTTGTTAAATTATGATGTCAGTATTCATACGGTGTAAACCCAACTTTTATTTCGAAAAGTTAAACTCAATGATAATTTTAACAACCGTTATGAAAGAGAAAAGTTTTTTTTACTTTTTAAACTACCATTACTATAAACAGGGACAGCAGAGTTCAAACAATGCAATATTGAAGATATATACAAATGAGGTAAGAGCCGATAAGAGTGGGGCGGATGTCGTTAGTGATAACAGCGAAGATGTGTTAGGTGATGTGCGGAGATGTAGTCGACTGGTTTACTGAAGATTTAAATGTGCGCCGTCTTGCTCCTACCGAATAGGCTATATCTTTCTTTTTATTTCTTTCTTATGAAATGGCTACCGTATAAAGTAGGTATTTTAAGCCAGAAAGTAAGAATGGAGATGAGTGTAGGATGTAGGATGAATGGCTTGATCTTGTAGTCTTGCTAGTGACTAAGGCAGACATATTCCTTAGACACAGCTGTTAATTAATAGCCCATACAGCTAATGGCAACTAAGGGACCTACAGTTTATAGTAGAATTAACGAATTGGTCTAATTATTGGGATTGTACTGCGGATAGTCGTAGTACTCACTATTGCAGACGTCAATCCACACCGGGAGTGTCACATCCACAGTGCATGCCTATAAATATCCACAATTTGTGACCTCCCAGTAGCTGGATTACAGGACGACACTACCGTCCCAGTCTAAAATACCTTCAAATTATCAACATGTGTCTTATAGAAAGATATGGTAGGAGATAACTAACATGTTAGAAAGTGAACCTTCGTACTTGGTGTGAGGAAATGTGGTCAACTTGCACACATTTTTCTCTAATCAATTTTTAATAAAATCTGTTTTTAAACCAGTGAAGTCTATGCAAGAGTCTTGGGTGAAGTGGCCCAACTTGGTGGCGTAGCTTGAGATGGTCGTTGATTTGGATATTAGTTTCTTATTTAAACCTATACAAACATTTCCATGTAGACTAAATTATTCTAAAACAAATGCAAAACCTATTTAAAAACCATAACAAATTGAAGCTGTAATAGCTTATTATTATTGTACAGACAAAACTGTAATTTTATTTATATAGATTAGGCATATTACCAGTTGAGATGGTGACACAACCTAGGTGTGTATTTGAATGAAGGATGAGTGTAGAATGAAGTTATATGCGTTGTGTAGCTTTGTTAGTGACTAAGACTGACTTTTTCTTTTGCTAGGACTATTATTAAAAGCCAAATGATCCAGGACAGCCTAGTCCAGTTTTGAACCATCAAAAATCGTCAAACTTTTCTCAGGATTGAATCAGCTCACGTGCAGTATTTATCTCGGACTAAAGATTCTATGCTATTGAAACTATTGATTATTATGACCTATACATGTTGTGGTTTGTTTGTTTGGTTTATTTGCCAAAGCAGTCTCAACACCTGTAAGCATCAACCAACCATTGTTTAACCGTAGATAATCCTGAGGATTTCGCCTGAATAAAAATACATGTTAACAATAACCTCATAACTAAGCTGGAAACATATTTTTGCCTATATTAAAAAAGTAATACCCACTTAGTGAGTAGGGCCAAATGAAATGAGTCTGTTATCATAATAATGATATTAACAGGGTTAATAGTAATTGACTAGTAGAGTTGTTTTTTTTTTCTTTACTCGTTTAGTCCAATAAGTAGGGGTGCATGAACTAGCAATCTCAAGAAGTCAAGCGTTGCATAAATTCTTTGCGCGAAACGAAGCTTCTTCTAAAAACCACACCTAATGAGATAATTATGAATGATTTGATCGTTAGTGTTGACGCGACGTCGTGGCGGGGTTTTCGCTATGACGCGACAGTGAATAAAGCGTTATTTACAACCATCTTCTTGCTAGCCACTTAAAAACTCATCATCATAGCACACGATTACTGTTCATCCCTGAGCCACTAACTGCACGGTCCTTATCTTTATAGTGGCTTCCCTCAAGGCCGGATAAGTCTTCACTCATGTTTGTAATCAAAATCGTTAGTTTACTCCCTTGCTACTTATTTGTCGCCAAGAAACAACAATGGGTTAAGAATACATTTTACGAAACTATACATGCTCTCGTAGTATCTTTACAATAATACATGTGTAAAATGGTTTTTATTGAACACACGTTATTAGTTCAATAATTGCATAGCAGTAATATAAAATTGTAACAATATATGAAAGCGCCTAGCGGATTAAAAGTTTTACCAAACAATATAGTACAATTTCCACTAACATTATCTAACCTAAGACTTTCCATAGTTTTATAAGGTAGTCCTTTCCTTATAACTCATTTAACTCATTTTACATAGTGTTTTGTATTTTCGTGCATGGTCATTTTATTGTAAGGTCGATGAATAAAAATGCTTATGTATATTAAAGTATACAACTATAGGAAAATGTATCCATTACTAAGGCTAAACACTTACCCAGAAAATAATTGTATGAAACTATGTAAAGATTTGCTCTAGTGCTCTTTAAAACGGTTCAGAATTAATTTAACCAGGAATAAAAGAATTTATTTCATCCAGGAAACCCTTTGTAGGAGTTAATTACACCAGCTTTGTGCTCCGTCATTTTCTGTTACTAAAAGCTGAACAGCTTGAGCCTAGGTTAATTACAGCGATTTAAGAATTCTTCATGGGAAGCAACGAATATTTCCTTTATAATATAGAAATAACATTGTATAAAAATTATTCTTGATACTACCCTAGGTTAATTTATGATTAATCCACTATTACGCTATAAGCTATACGGTACAAACTTCTATATACATTTGCATGAGTCTCACGTGCAGAGATTTAAGTTATTTGCCGCTGAATCTCAGACTGCCAATTTCCAAAAACAACACATTTTGGAGGACAAGGCAACGCATTAAATATATAGAAGTTCGCGATGTTATTATGTCTTTTGAAATGCCAACATATTAAATCAATTATTGAACATTGTAGAATCATTTTATTTAATTTTTTATTTAGCCTTAGTATGCGTAACATGCAGCGGGAAATGATTTTTCTACAATTTAGTAAAATGCTATATTTTTGCTAGGTTCCTAAAATGGTTACATTGTATTTTAACCGTTTGGCAAATTTGAAAATTGATTTAAAATTTCATATTTGTAGTTTGGTATTGTTTACAATCTATTTAAAACTTGCAGTGAAATACAATGATAGTACCTTGTTGACCTCTCTAAGAGATCTTAAAAAAATATACAGATAGCTCGTTAACTAAACGCAAAATATATTTTCACATTTTTTACTTGGGATGTACACAAACGCCTCATATTTTGTACAATCAGTGGAATGCGTTGCATGAACGGCGATAATCAATGGACATTTTAGTCTTTCGAAACATCCAGTGAACAATCTCATTGCTTAATCAAACAAACCCTAATGGTCTAGTAAACACGTTGCTGGTTTTCATTCAATAAGTTGTATAAATATGTGTTGTGTTCACTAAATAGAAGTGCTTTTTAATCGTCCAGCTGTAATCAGTTGTAAAAGTAGGGTATTCTTAGTTATTGCCGAAAATGTAATCAGGACTTTTCAGATGGGCTTCAATAAACTGAAAGTAATATCTTTATTTACCAGCATTATTCTGATACAAAAAGTCTCAATACAACTAACTATATAAACTAACTAATGTTCATCTAGCCTAATACTAGACTAAATATGCTTTCATCTTTAAACATGTTTCCACTTTATTCTTAGTTTTGCAGGATGGAACTGGTTTTATGCTCTTGGGTTTCCCAGCGTTCATTGTGGGTCCATATACAATAGTATTTTCTCTAAATTAGGGGAGAGGTTTAATCCTCTTCAGTGTTTCATCTTAACCCAAAGGGGAGGTTACTTGAGCTAATCCCTACTTGTTACAGGTTGGAGCCGTCGGACCAATATTCGTCCTCGTCGTCGTCGTGTCGGTCTCCACTCATCTCTCCCCTCATCTTCAGCAACGCTCTCCATGTGGCGGTGGACCACGGGGCCGTGGAGGTAGCGAGGCTGTTGCTCAAGTATGGTCTGGAGCCGGACCAGGGGGGCAGAGTCCCTCCGGCACCTCCGTCACCACGCCGGCCCCAGCCACCCTCCCGGCCGTGTTCTCCACAGCCGCACATCCGCACTCCTTCGCCAAAGAAAATCAAGTCTGGTGAGGAAAACCAACCATGTAAATAAAAGTAACTATTGAGACTGTAAGAAAAAAAAATCTAAATCAACACCTCTTTGGATGCATTAAAATAAATATTATCTTGTTAAATTTATAAATCCATTTTTAAAGTATATTTCATGCAGGTGACGTTTGATTGCGATAATGGCTACTAAATATTTTTATTAGGATAGACTTTACCACCCAAAAACGTTATAAGTAAATTATTTCATTGGGTTGAAATACAGTAGTTCCAAAACCTACGAAATGTCAATAAACCAATGATAAATCCAAAAGTTCTCTACATAACCTGGGCGGAACCCATTGCAGGGCAATCAATGGCTAGACATACTCCGTTATAAATTTATCATCAATTTCCGTTTTGTAACGCTTGATTGGGATGATGCCTGCTATTATTTTACTGGTGGTTAAAACTTCGATTATAATTCGAAAGAACAGAAAGGTTTATTGCTTTTTCCCAATAAATAAAAAATATACTAGAAGTGGTTGTGGTATTCAAATATGTATAACGAAAGACACACCACCACCGTATAAAGAAGAAACATGTTGTACATATTTACGCATTATATTGGGTTACGACGAGAAGTCTACTTGCAGTAGCCAAAGTCAATGGTGGCAATGTGTTGTCACTATTGCAGTCCATTTAGCCTCGGAATGTAATGTGCTTTTGTGTGCTATACCGTTGCAAAGGGTAATTCGATTAAACTCATTATGTTATTGAGAGTCCCATTAGATAATAACAGTGTCTAGTGTAATTAACTGAATAAAGATAATAGACGTTTACGTTTTGTTTTGCTTAATAACTGCAAACAATTATTTAATTGAAACTTTGCAATACAATTTTACGATATGATAACCTAAAAACTGTTGTTTAATATTCCAATGATTGATAACAAGGTAATTTTAATAATGAGCCCAGGTACTGTAATTTTACAAATAATTGATTGGCAAATTTTGTTAATTACGATTTCCTTGGATAAAAACTAGAACTAACCTGAACAGTTTCTTCTAACTATTTTAAGGCTAATTGGTTTGAAAGGAGATACAAATAATAGGGTATAGGGGCTTTGAACATAAAATATATATTCAAAATATTACAGTATAATAAGTCTCTTAAATCAATTAAATGATAGAAATTTCCTTGCCTTAGGAAATGTATAATGTAGCATAATACACATATTGTGCAAATAGTAGTAGACTATTTTTATATAAGTAGGGCTACCCCTAGGACTAAGTAAACACAACCCCCCCCCCCGTTTTAAATAGGACTACATACCGTAAGATTCTACGATTATGCCTCCTGAAATTATGCAATAGTTCTGCATCATATTGAGTCATTGTACCGTTGCTAGTACGGACTTTTAAAAATTACTTAATTATGGAGAGTACTTTGCTTGATTACAGGTTATTAGTTGTAATGAATGGTAAACACGCACTTGACTTTTACACTTGAATAACATGTAAACTGAAGTTCATAAAAAGGATAAACGTGGTGTGAATTTTCTAAAACATAATTGTGTCATATTAAATTAATTCTTCATTTATATATTGTCTGACTACAATAATACACTATTCCTCAAATAAAATTAAATTAGAATACACTTTTCAGACAAAATCGTGATTATCGAGTTATGAATGATTTGTAATAAAACTGGTTATAGTTATAAACATTTGTTAGACTATTATAGGTATAAGTCTAAGAAAAATTATTATCTCTTACAGAATCTTCTACCAAAGATGATGCACAGCCCTTGACAGAACTGTCTCCCCAAAAGTTTCTCAAACCTGAGCTTCCTCCGTCCACTCCGACCGCAGCTACCCCCGTCCGTCGGGTCAGCTGGATCTCCCCCTCGTCACCTACGGATATGAGCAAGAAGCGGAGAGCCACTACCAAGTCCTTGCCTCGTCAGAGATCCTTCTCTTTAGAGCACAACAACCAGCTTCTAGGACCTGGCGGATCGTGGACGACGGAAAGAAGAAGTGTATCACTTAAGTCCAGCCCCCTCATCTCCCCTAGACCACCAGATGCTGACGCATCCCCGGCCAAGGTCAAGGCTATAATTCCAGAAAGGAGTATATTCGCTGAGCTGAGAAGAAGCAGTGAAATTTTTAAAAGTATACTGCTGAATCTGTCAATGAAAGACGCGGAGCAGCAAGCTTTAGAAGACGAAGAAAATAAGGCGACTCCAACAGAGCACCAAATCGACGTAGAAACGCTTTTAGCGGCTCACGAACAGAGAAAGCTCGCCACATATCAAACAGAGAGTGGATTTTCAAGCACTTCGTCGTCATCCCTTTCTTCCCCGTCGAGGTCGTCACGCAGCTCCCTGAGTAGTCCTGATGAGGATGACGACGGTGACGAAGTCCTGGGGATAGGCTCTCCTACAGTCGTTGGTGGGAAGGAAGGCCCTTTACTGAAGGTCAACCCCAACATCGAGGCTGACAAGGTAGCGGGGTGGATGGAGACCTACACCCGACAGTACCTGTTCACCCTCCCCGCTCTGTTCCTCGCCGTCATCAGAGGCAACGCCACTCTCGTGTACCTGCTTCTCAAGTATGGCGCCTCCGTCAACTTTCAGGTAACCATGCACCCTTTCGGTCTTATATTTCAGCTTTTTTAGATCGAAACCATATGTTTATAAAAAGATACGTGCATTGTTTCAAAACATACTACTTTTCTCAGGTGCAAATTTTTTACCGGTATGTGATTATTGTTCTAACAGCGTTGTTCAATGGATTTACAATGACTATGTCAAAACCATTTAAATCTCTACCATGCGGTCAAAATTTGCCTACAGCATTTTGTATCCAATTTTAAATTGTATACTAGCATGGCCACCTCTATTGGCTACGTTCAATCAAAAGAAGTAAAATCGTTAAGTGGCATGGTTTCACAGAAAACAATGAATAGTTTTATATCCGTAATAACCATTTAACATAAAAACTATCCTATCTTAGTCGTATCCAGTAGTTTCAAAGTTGTACAACGCCAACGCCGGTGAAGGTAAGTGAAGGAGAAGCTATACACTGCGTAATTAGCGAACAGTTTGAGCTGTCAGATTACACGTATTGTTAACACGGTTATTGTGTCTTAACACGAGCACAACAACCACTTTACTGTACCTTAGTGCAATCCAGTAACTTACATTAGCAGTATTTAAAATTTATTTTTTATGATTTATAAAGCGTTTATTTATAAAACTTGAATTATATTTTTGTAATCTTAGAATCAACCTATCTACCTACCAAGCTATGAAGAATCTAGACACTGTCAGATTTAGCTTAATAGCAATTAAATATCCATGATAACTGGAACATCATAGTAGTACGTCTATGACAAATGCAACACAGTGTTAAACCCTTCGTTTTTAAAGTTACATTAAAAATTATTGACAGTACCAATTGACTAGCCTTACTTACTAAATTGCCTCTATTCAATCTACGGTTTTAATTGTCACTAATGGTAAAGATTAATCAATCTTGAAAAATATAAATTACAAAAACAGTACAGTAAACCGCAGTGTTAAAAAGATAGCCTAATTATTCTTTCTGTTTACGTTTACTAAAGAAATAACAGTATTTTTACACGAGTAAATATGTGTATTTTGGCATATTTCTATATAAATGCAGGTTAAACGTAATGAAGGGCCATGAAACCCCTACTTTGCCTGTCAAAATAAAAGATTTGTAATTCGTATAATTTAATTTATTTTAAAAGCTCATCAACTTATAAGCTGGTGAAATATAGGAAATATAAGACTATTACACAACTAATCTCTTGTAAGCTCTTATAACAAATTCGACCTTAATAAGAGAATAATATATAGTTTAACATTGCTTCAGTAAGTTAAAACCTAGTCGCTGGTTTAAACCGACCGGTATATTTATATCGTTGAAATAAGGAGCGAAACTAGACTTACGAGTATCACAACATCCACCATTACATAGAATTTAGGTATAATAAAATATTCCACTGCACAAAATATATTTCATTAAATTTTGGCAGAAACCACAAAAATTACAAGGAAAAGTCTAAAATAAAGAAACATTAACAAGACAAATATTCTGACATTGCTGAACACGGAACTCTCTCTGCTGCCTAAGCGTTTCCGATTTTGCAGGTTAAAATATTCTAGTGATTCAGCTCCATTTACTTTATCACTGTTTGCACTAGTTTTCTGAATCAAATAAAACCTGGCTACTTTCTATTTCCTATCATTACATATATAATATGTTTACTATATACTGTAGCATTTAATTTGTATTGTTTTATGCCATTTTATTAAGAATAAGAATAAGACATTTATTGACCATTAAGTAAATACATTGTTTACACTAGATCTCGTCAAATTAGTCTAAACAAATGTCAGGCTTTAAAACTAATACCATTGACTATATAAAGTCAATGCTAATACTATTTTCTATTTAAAGCTATGTAGGATGACAGCATATTCAAATAACTATTTCAGAATTTAAAAACTCATCAATCTGGTACATTGGGTTTTCTAGGAGCCATTTATACAGAATTTCAAAGAATACCTTATCACTAGTAATATCTACAACGTAGTTTGGCAGTTTATTGTAAAGCTTTAAGCCCAGAGTGTGATGATACTTTTGTGTTCCTGTCAATCTACATCTAGATATGTCAATTTTATTCCTAAACCTAGTAATGTGATCATGAACATCAGTCCTAGACATATTTTTATAAAAAAAAACATGAATCAAACATCAATTAGCAAAAAGAATCAATATTTTTTCTCACTAGCCTTATAACTTCATAAATGTAAAGATTTATCACAGTCAAAATCCCTGTTTGCACAAACAAAGGCCTACAATGTGCCGGGAAAGATGAACCAGTTATAAGTCTAACTGTTTTTTCTGTAATATCAAGACATCATCGATACCAATGCCATTACCCCAGACAACCAAACCATACCTCAATATACTTTCAAAGAATGCATAATAAGCCATATTTAAATTAACATCAGGTAACATTTGTCTTAACTTACACAATAAACATATTACTCTTGGTAATTTTTTACAAACTAATTTAATATGATTCTTCCATAACAATTTACAATCAATAGAAATTCCCAACAGTGTTACATTACTTTCCAGGTTTTGATTTGATCTATATATAAAAAAAAAAAATGTATTTTGTCTTATATCAAAATTATAAATTATTGTGCATTATATTTACTGCACTATAATGGGATTTAATAAACTGTTAGTATAATTTGTTTACTCATAATTTTACACAGTGCGTTAGCGTTGTTAAGTTGTTTATATGTTAGGAATTGTTTTTAGCGAGTAATGTAAAGTATAATGTAAAAAATAGACGAACCTCGAGCCGAGAGTCGCGGAGACTAGTGGCTGCAAGCCGTAAGATATAGTTTTCGGTTTTCAAAATTGGCTTCCAAGGAGTGGAGTGGCTGGATAAACTGAGGACCGGTATAACCGAGGATGAAAATTAGGGGTCTTATTGCAGTTACAATAAATATATGTAAAAAACAACCCCGAATCTCATTCGATTTAGAATATTCAAAACAAAATGGCCAAGCAACAAAATATCTACATAATTTGCAAAAAGAACGTTTGCAATCCTGCATGGTGATTTATAGATATAAATGAAATGGATTAAAAGGAATGAAAATAATTAATTTCATTGATTATTTCATTAATAATTTCATTATTGGTTAGGTCTACCACTATTTTACACTTTAATTACTTTTATGTTGTTTGCTCGCGTAACATTGATAAAATAAGAATTAGTACAGTAAAAATAAATGAAAAATTCCATAAACCTAAAACAAATTAGTACAAGCAAGAAATTTGGTACAGATGTTGGCTGTGTCTTTCTATTGAACTTCCCCTAACATTCTGCTAAAATCAAAGCTGTGCTACGGCCGCCATCTTGTAAAATGGCGACATATTTCAATATTTTTGCCTACAGCTGTTTATAGTATAATCTAGGATTTCACACATTACATGGAAAAATGTAATTTTAAATCAAATACTGTATAGAAACAACAAGTATTTTAAAACTATTTTTTTAAACATTTTTACTTTGCAATTTTTCAAAGGCTATATGATTGACAAATGTCGAATTTAGAAATATTTTTTACCTTACGAATATTGAAAACTTTATATTCTTGAATTTCCAAAATATACGAGTAGGATTGTTGGTCCCTTCATAATATGAGCAATATATATTATTATGCTAATAAATCCTATGCATAATATGATAATCTAAATTGCCAAGCTAATATTTTTATTTTTATTTTTCGTATACCATGTATATTTTGGATTTTATTTACGTTAATACTAGACTATTTATCGATACAATAACAAATGTTCACCCTCTACATTGTATTTGTAAATCTCGTTCCTCGAGTCTTAAAAGCTCCGAAGAAGGCTTTTAAACGTTTTAACGTTTGTATAACTATATGTTGGTACTGAAATGTGTTCCAGTTGTTTCAACGAAAAAGAACAATAAAGTACTCCAGAGAGCTTTAGTTCAACAATATAACATTTAACGTTTATTTAGCTAAATACAGAGACTGAACTGGAACACTGCTAAGACATTTAAAAAATTGCTTGTGAGAGTTATAATTTTACTTTACAATGTACGAAAGCGACCCTAAATTTATCACCATGTCATGCCGTGGAAGATCTCATACATTTATGTAACCGATGTTTCTTGTAAAACCTTTTTAAACACTAAAACATTATAATACCTCAGTCACAGCTAACCTGCAGACTAAGAGAATTTTAATTTGCCTGGTTGGATTTTCATTAAAATGTATTCTTAAAATAGTAAATTTATTCCCTGTTTAAATAACAGCAAGTTTATTATTATTTATTTATTTATTATTATATAACATCCTTAGGTGTGTTGCTACAGGGAAGACAATGTAGTGTTTCTCTTTTTTATAAACATGTTTATGTGAAAATAGCTTAGCATAAAATACATATATTTTCCAACATTTATCAGTTTATGTCCTTAACTACAACATCGTGGAAATGTGAAATTTACAGATATTTTTTAGGATTATCACGTAACTATTAGATCTACAACGATGCTTTGATATTTTTAATTAAGCGTTTTTAGGTCTGCATAATGGATTAGTACAATTGTAATATTTCATGCATATTTTGAGGACCAAAAATGGGAAACCCCAATTTTACCCCATAAAATCTCCATACAACCCCGTTACCATAGTCCAATCACGGTGGTTCGAGAACTCGTTCGAATAAACAGTTTTAAATATTTGTAACAAACTTGATTAAAATTATATAATGTTTACTTGAGCTATCGAGCTAACAGATAAATATATATTATATTTATGAGTTTAAACAGATGGTGCTTGGGCCTATGGGGACATTTAAACAAAAAAGACCCGGGTTCGGGTTTTCCCATTAGACCTATGGTAGCAATATTTTTTACAACCTAGTATATCCTTGCGAAACCCTATTTCAGCAATAACAAATGTTTGAACCTTATCGGCCATCAAACTTTTTCACGCGATTGGATGAAAGGCCAAAGCGAACTTTTACAAAGAAATCCGTTTATTGGATA